ACAGCCCTATATCCCAGAATATCAAGGCAGAAAATCCCAGAATATCAAGGCAGAAAATCCCAAATTATCTGTTTTGACCTGGCATATATGGTAGTGTGGACTCAGATAACCCAGATCCACATCTATAGCAGGCATCCTCAGAAGTTGTGAGGTCTGTTGGAAACGAGACAAATAGGATTTATATATGTAGAATGTCCAGGGTGGAAGAAAGAACTTTTGTCTGTTTGAGGCAAATGTGAATGTTGGAATTGGCCAGCATATTAGCATTGAATGGCCTTTTAACTTCAAAGCCTGGCAGCTTTATGGCTGGGGGAATCCTTTGGTGTTAACTAGCCCTGATGGTTTCATGCTTGGAATTCCCTTGTTTTCTGAGTAATGTTCTTTTTTTACTGTCCTGATTTTAGATTTTTTAAAAAAAAAAAATACTAGTAGCCAGATTTTGTTCATTTTCATGGTTTTCTCCTTTCTGTTGAAATTGTCCACGTGCTTGTGGATTTCAATGGCTTCTCTGTGTTGTCAAACATGGTGGTTGATATTTTCCGTGGACCACTCAGTGATTCTGGCCATGAAAGCCTTCAACAACACAGTTTTTCTCCCTTTCCCATTCCCATTCCTTCCCCAAGTCACAGACATTTACAGACTGCTTCCCTCTCTGTCCTCTAAGTAGTAATTATTCTCTAGTGTAGACCATGTTTGCAAAACTGTGGTCCTCCAGGTTTTTGGGACTCCCAGAAGCTCTAACCAGCATATCCAATGATCAGGAATTCTGGAAGCTGAAATCCAAAAGACCTGGAGAGTCAAAGATTTTGCAGGCCTGCTCTAAACTACTACCTAATATTCTTACCCTAGCCAAGTAACCAAAATCTCACTTGATGTCAGGGTGGCATGAATTTGACTTTGCTTTGGTACATATAGTTAATAAACAATTTCCATATAGCCACAAACAAATTCTCTTTTATTTCTCCTTTCTGTAATCTCACTTTGTTGGTTAATTTTTCAGATAGTGCTACAGAGTCATAGTTCAGTGCTCAATCCACTACGTCCTGATGACTCAAGATCACAGTAACAAGTAGTTGAATTTAGACATATGGCTTTAAAATAAATTGGTTTTGAGGAATGCAGAGATCTGTGAAAAGTATAATTAAAATCATACAGACCAAGTTTACTTATACCTGACATATATCTGTGCATTGACCACAACCAGTCTATTTTAAAGTCATTGACCCATATCTCATTGCCATTAACCACCTCATTTAACAAGGCACTCAGAGAAGAATCTCCAAATCTCTCGTGGTCATGAAGATCTCAGGTCTAATGACCAACAGCTGAAGCTTGCTTTATATTTAACCAATCCTACTTAAATGGTTTTCAAACTTATGGCATTCCTAATAAGGTTTACCAATCATAGGATTTTCTTGGTAAGATTTTTTTCTGAGGTAATTTATTTGCTCTTCTTCTAAGTTTAAGAATACATGACTTGCCCAATGTCATCCAGTGAGTTTCCATGGCCGAGTAAGGAATTCAGCCTTGGTCACCACAGCCACCGTCCAACTCTCAAACCACTATAACTCATTGGCTCTGGGAGCATATATATTACTTTAATACTAAAACATTAGTATAAGTAGCCATTTAAGAAACTGAAATAAGTACTAGTTTAATTTAATGTGTGTGTGGTGCAGTCCTGAACAAACAAACTGGAGATAAGAATAAGTATTTCAGGTTTCAACACAACTTTTAAATGCGACGGATGTGAGGCAACTTGAATATATCTGGATGCCAGTTGCTGGGGAATACCAGAGGGAGGGTGTTATTCAACTGGTGTCCTACTTTCACTTTCACATAGACATTGAACTGGTGGACAGTGTGAATGATTGACTATATTAATTGTCCAAACCACCTTTTTTAATGTACTATCATATGAAGTCTTCATAGGACTGAACTCCTAAGCTATGCAGATTGCCAGAATGGAAAAAAAAAGCCAGGGTGTACTGAGCAATATTTTCCTCCCTTTTCATTTATTGCTGTAGTAACATAATAGAAACAAACATGTCTTTCCAAAAAATGAAGTTTGGCCTTAACTTGCAGCCACTTTGTAGGTCCATAATTTCACATGAGAGAGCTGCAATGGGTCTTGTCCATCACTGAGTGCTGAAGTAATATCTTTGTCTGTCTGCTTGCTTTTTGTACATGGAATTGATGAAAGTGTCATCTTGTCAGCTGCCTTATGCCACAAAATGACTTCAGGTAACTCCTGACAATTGTAAATTGTCAAATGTAAACTTCCAGCTGTCAGAACTGGTGTAAACAGTGGGTTACTGTGAGTTTTCCGGGCTGTATCGCCATGTTCCAGAAGCATTCTCTCCTGATGTTTCACCCACATCTATGACAAGTATCCTCAGAGCTTGTGAGGTTTGTGGGAAACTGGGCAAGTGGGATTTTTATATATGTCAAATGTCCAAGGAGGGAGAAAGAACTCTTGTCTGTTGGAGTCAAGTGTGAATGTTGAATGTTTTCTTGGGTCTATAGATTGTTTGTAGGTTGTGTTTCTTCATCAGCTTCCCTATGCGGTTAGTGGTTCCCTTGATGAATCTATAGACCCACCAAAAAAAATCCAGCAAATGCTATGTTCAGCAACTCTGCAGGAGTCTACCATATACCATGCAGTTGTGGACAAGTCTACATAGGGACCACCAAACGCAGCACCCAAACATGAAAGGAACATGAAAGGCACTGCAGACTACTTCAACCAGAGAAGTCAGTAATAGCAGAGCACTTGATGAACCAACCTGGACACAGCATATTATCTGAGAACACAGAAATGCTGGACCACTCTAACAACCAAGAGTTCTTTCTCCCACCCTGGACATTCCACAGATATATAAACTTCACTTTCCTAGTTTCACGCAAACCTTACAACCACAAACCCCACAACCATCTATGCCTGCCATAGATGTGGGTGAAACATCAAGAGAGAATGCTTCTGGAACATGGCCATACAGCCCAGAAAACTCACATCAACCCAGTGATTCCAACAATGAAAGTCTTTGACAACACTGGTGTAAACACTTCTCTATAACCCCATGCAGATGTCTACAAATGAACTTGACTCGTGGGATTTGCTCTCAACTGACCAAACCTCCAGTTTCCATATGTTCGTGAGCACCAGATGTTCACAGAACATTGCTGGGCAACGTTACCTGCAGAACCACAACTTCCACCATCTTCAGCAGTAGGGCCTTCATCCAGGGATGCTGGGGGTTGTAGTCCATAGGGTATCATCTCTTGAACTTGGTTGAGAAATGGAAACGGGAATGAGAAGAAAGAATGGAAGAGGGAGGAAGTGTTTATTCCCAAAATCCTAACTATTTCTGAATCAAAATGGAAAAACATGAGCTGGGGTGACCCTTAGGGCATTTCCACTCTACAGAAAGCACTATGATTTCACATTGAACTTTTGTAGGTCCATCCTATGGAATCATGGAATTCTAGTTTAGGAGGGGACACTTAAAATTCTCAGTGAAAGAGTGCTAGTACCTTTTGGAGCTATTCTCCAGGGGTGCATTCATACAGTAGAAAGAATGCAGTTTGACACTACTTTTACCTGTGAGGGGTCATTGTAATGGAATCCTGGGAGTTGTAGTTTGGCAAGGCACCAGCAGTCTTTGACAGAGAAGGATAGAGATTCTGCAAAACTACAACTGCCATGATTACAAAGCATTTAGTAATGGTAAAGTGGTGACAAATTTCTACAGCATAGATGTAATTTTAGGGAGAGGAACTTGGAATTCTCAGCCCAAAGTCTCTCTAGTGCAGTGTTTCTTAATCCAGTTCCCCATGTTGTGGTGACCCCCAATCATAACATTATTTTTGTTGCGACTTCATATCTGTCATTTTGCTACTGTTATGAATTCTAATGTAAATATCAGATATGCAGGATGTATTTTCACTCACTTGACCAAATTTGGCACAAATACCTGATGTGCCCACATTTGAACACTGATGGGATTTGGGGGGAGGGGTTGATTTTGTCATTTGGGAGTTATAGTAGCTGGGATTTGTAGTTCACTTACAATCAAAGAGTATTCTGAAATCCACCAAGTGATGGAATTGAACCAAACTTGGCACACAGAAGTCGCATGACCATTCAAAAATATTGGAAGGTTTTGATGGGCATTGACCTTGAGTTTTGGAGTTGTAGTTCATCTACATCCAGAGAGCACTGTGGACTCAAACAATGATGGATCTCAACTAAACTGGGCACAAATATGAAATACGCTCAAATGTAAGCACTGGTGGAGTTTGGGAAAAATACACCTTGGCATTTTGGAGTTGTAGATGTTGGGATTTATAGTTAACCTACAATCAAAGAGCACTCTGAACCCAGCCCACAATGGATCTCCACCAAACTTGGCAAATTACCTACATTGCCAGCATCAAAATCATCTGGGCGTCCCCTGGGCAACGTAGTTGCAGATGGCCAATTCTCTCACACCAGAAGCAGCTTGTAGTTTCTCAAGTTGCTCCTGACACGACCAAAAAAACAAAACAAAAACACCCCCCCCCCKCAAAAAAAACCCCTACATTGCCAACACTGGTGGGGGGGGGGGCTGTTTTTGAATTCTGGGAGTTGTAGTTCACCAACACCAAAAAGGAAGAGAAGGACAGGCAGAGAGGTCTTCAGCCTTCTCTGCCAAAAGGGTACCTAAGACRATTAAAGTATGTGTTCTGTGATTGTCTTTGGCGACCCCTCTGAAACTCCTCTCGCGCCCCCTCCCGCAAGGGTCCCGACCCCCCGGATGAGAAACACTGAGCTATTGCTTCCTAGAGCCACAAGCCCCAGTGGTTCAATTCCCCCGAGGAGTGGCAATCAAAGAGGAATTGTGCAGCGGGAGCAGGCATTTGGAGCCTTCGCCTGCGCAACTCAAGGGTTCTATTCGCTCTTTACAACCTGCGAAGAAACTTTGGAGGCTGGGCACTGGTATTACCTTTCTGGAGGCTTCGGGGCCGTCGAGGGGCTCCGCCGCCTGGCTCCTCCCCCCTGAAACAGGAGGATCCCCCTTTGCCCGACCACCTCTCCTCCCCTCCCCTCCCCTCCCCTTTGTCTCCCGGCTCCTGCCCAAGGCATCTGGGGTGGGCGCCCATATAAATGGCCGGGGCAGCACAGGTTCGCGGCCAGCCTGGTGCCGACCCGGCGGGGAAAGGAGCCCGAGCCCAAAGGCCCCCGAGCTGAGACCATGACCCACGCGCCGTGGGGATACTCGAAGGATAAAGGTGAGTCGCAGGGACAGACCTGTGGATGGGGAGAAAAGGAGGCAGCGCGTCCAAGCCCAATGTGCGCTTCCTCGGAAGGAACTCCCGAAAGGACCCCTTTCCCAAGACCTCCCCGAGTGGAGAGAGAGAATTTGGGGTTGGCACGGGGAAACGGGCCAGGCAGATCTTTGGGGTTCTGATCTGGCCTTGTGCATCTTGGATCTTCCCAGACCATTTTTTTCTATCTGCCTGTGCCACAAGCAGGGCACCGCTTCAGTCTGCCTTACCCGAAATGCATGGGACCAGGTGTGTTTTGGATTTATTTGCTTATTTATTGGTTTGTTGTGAGTTTTATGGGCTGTATGACCATGTTCCAGAAGCATTCTCTCCTGACGTTTCGCCTGCATCTATGGCAGGCATCCTCAGAGGTTGTGAGGTCTGTTGGAAACCAGGCAAGTGTGGTTGTCCAGCGTGGAAGAAAACTCACATTGCAACATTCACACCTACCTCTAACAGACGAGAGTTCTTTCTCCCATCCTGGACATTATTCCTCAGATATACAAACCCCATTTTCCTAGTTTCCAACAGACCTCACAACCTCTGAGCATGCCTGCCATAGATGCAGACAAAACATCAGGAGAAAATGCTTCTGGAACATGGCCATACAGCCCAGAAAACTCCCCACAACCCAGTGATTCCGGCCATGAAAGCCTTTGACAATACATTGTTTGTTTATTTATTTATTTACTTATGAAATACCTGTATTTGCATATATGTACATAATGGGTGTACATATATGAAAATACAGGTATTCCATAAATAAATAAATAAATAAATAAGATTTATGGAATATCTGTATTTGCATATATGTACGTAAAAGGATTGAAAGGTTGGCGGTTTGAATCCGGGAAGCTAGGTGTCAGCTTCTGCCAACCTAGCAGTCTGAAAACATACAAGTGTGAGTAGATCAATAGGTACCGCTTCTGCAGGAAGGTAATGGCACTCCATGCAGTCCTGCTGGCCACATGACCTTGGAGGCATTTATGGACAACACCGGCACTTAGAAATGGAGATGGGCTCCACCCCCCAGAGATGGACATGACTAGGCTTAATGTCAGGGAAAACCTTTACCTTTACGACATAATGGGATATTTTGCAGGTAGGACAGAAGTTTAAACACAAAATTCATTGGTGTTTCAGATACACCATGTTTAACTGTCTGAATGTACTTGCTGTTTGTGTAGATGTAAAATGGGTTCACTATTTGACTTGTGTTATTTTGTATTATACGGTATTGAATATTTGCCTTTTTATTTGTTGTAATCCACCTTGGGTTCCCTCCGGGGAGATAGGGCAGGATAGAAATAAAGTTTTCATTCATTTCATTCATTCACCTTATAATAATTTTGTGCAGGAAATAAAGTTTAGGTGCACCCAAACATCCAAACACAAAGGTGCCCCCATCTTGGTGTCCCCATCTTGGCCACCCCTATAGGCCACTTCGTGTCTTGGAATATTTTGTATTCTGGAATTCTGGATAAGGGATGCTCAACTTGTCCTTTGCAGTGTGCTCAACACTGTCATCTATTTCTTACCCTTCCCACTCAGTTTCTTCTTCTTTTTCTTTACCCTATCTCCTCATTAGAAGAGGAAAATGCAAAATGGGTGCACAATGGCTTCTGAGTTGAAGCACTCTGAACTTTTCATCCAGATTGAAAGGTTAAGACAAGTGCAGCCCTCCAGGCAGGATTAGATGGCAACTCCCAATACCACCCAACTTTGGTTGTGTGGGCTTGGAATGCTGGGAGTTGTAATACAAAATTTCTGATGGGCCACATTTTGCCCACCTCTACTCTGGAATGGAAGCAGTTCTACACTCTTTTGTACTTCAAAGGCTCCCATGTTGTTACTCAAATATCATATCTATAAAAAGAGGGTGAAATAAGCCAGGTCTGATAGTCTGGCCATTTCTGGCCTGCTATCCTTCCTCAATGGGGATCTTGTTTCCCTTCAAATGTTGATGAGCGACAACTACTACCATCCTTCACTATAGGCCAGGCTGGTTGGGGCTGATGGGAATTGGAGTCCAACATCAGCAGGCCTATGGGGCCCCCAGCCCTATGTCAAGCAGCTCTTTGGTGTCTGGATTCCACTTGCTGGTTCCCTGAACAGAGATGAAGCTGGGATAGTCTGTTTGCAACTTAGGTGTTTTACTACTAGAGAGTTACAAAGCTTTTCTTGCCTTCATCTGTATTTTACCAGTTTACAGCACAGATATTTTAATTACTGACAATCTTTCTTGAACAAGACTCAAAGTGGTGTATATAGAATTCCCAGCAGCAAAGCAATGCTTAATATCACATTTCTTTGGCATGTACTATTGTCATGGAATCATAGAATTGGAAGAGGCCACAAGGGCCACCCAGTTTAACACCCAAGGAATACACAACCAAAGCATGCACACACACACACACACACACACTTATATACAAACTTTGGGAAATTGTTTTACAGCTCCTGGAATTTTCCTGAGATAAAGCTGATACAATTCTGGGAACATCAATTCAAAAAAGGCAACATTTTCAAATTCTCTCTGTATGTGTAGATAGATACCCACACATATACGTACATACACTAACACACAAAACATGTACATGCATAATGTTCAGATATATATATGGGTACATTTTACTACTGCTTTTTATACTATTCTTATAGTAGTATAATACTGGTATTTTAAAAATATTTCTGGAGCAAATATTACGAGGAAAAAATATCAAAATCTCTCATTTGGGTTTAGAATCTCTCTTTTGTGGATGGAAGTCTTCTCTGCTCTCATTTGGGTGAGGGTCCCTTTTTGCATTATATTAGGATCCCTTGTCCCTTTATGTGGTATTTTCAGGTGGGCTACCATTTGGAGTGGGGGTGGAGAGGAAGAAAAGTCAGATGGTGTTTTATATAGGTTTTGTTAGATTGTACTTTTCAATTTTCATTTTTTTTGTATCAGTTTTTATGTAATCCATGAAGAAGGCCATTGAAATATATACATACACTGGCAGAAACACATTGGGCTTTTTCCAATATATATATATACTGGTATATTAAAAAACACAACCATTTAATGAGCACTTGAAAATGTGTGTATGCATGTGCCTTCAAGATTGTCTTTTGGAAGGTGAAATAAGAAATAGGGCTCCTGTACTTTTAATGGTTGTGTAGAAGAGGGATTTTCAGAATGGTTTCATGACAGCAGTACTGCATAAATGCTTTCTACTACACAATCAAATCCTGTACCCAATTTCACTTGATAACCTAAATGTAACACTAAGGAGTTCATGTGCTGAGTGCTGGTGTGGGGTGTTGGTGTTGGATTAGCCTCTGGGAGACCAAAGTTATAAATCTGCTCATTGAATCTGTCCTATAGGGTTATTGTGACAGCAATTATGCTACTTTATTGGCAACTTCCACTTGCATATTTGGCTGAGCTCGTTCATTTTTTATTGGGCTGTGTAAGTAAGATTCCAAGATCTCATTGTGTAGGTATGTGTCTGGGTTGTCCGCTTGTGCCAGTCCCAGAAGGATGTGTAGTCATAGGTCCACCTTGATTCTACTAGACTAGACACTTAAGTGTCTTGGGCAGTTAAACCAGTCCATAATTGCATTGCACTGGCTGTGGATAAAATCTCAATTGAGCTGTTGTCACCCTAAACTAAGCTGCCTGGAACAACAAATGTAATACATAAAATTCCTCTCCACTGTGTAAAAGCAGCTGGATTTTAGTTATCTAGGACTTGGATTTTGAGGACTTGTGTGTGTGTGTGTGTGTGTTTTTCTTTTGGTATCAAAACAAATGACTTCAGCTCATTAACAACTGCAATCCCTTATAATACATAAATTCCTCTTCTATTAATGCAAATGTTTATCTGCTTAGCCATTTACAAGAACAGAGTGAAAGGAATTGTGTAATCCTGCTTTGTGGATCTCCTCCTCCTCCTAGGTCCCGATCGCTGGCGTGAAGCTTATCCATTTGCTGGAGGAAGTAATCAGTCACCTGTAGCAATCCTCACCAAGAATGTCCACAGTGACCCTATTCTATTGCCTTGGTTTACTGGTTATGATCCAGGTGCATCTAAGACCATAAAGAACACGGGAAAAAGTTGCCGGATTGCCTTTGATGACACTTTTGATCGCTCAGGTAAGTTCCTGTTTCATCTATTATTGGTCCATGTACCCAGCATAGCCTGGGTATAGATTTTCTAATACTATTTATTAGAAATAGTCATTGTTAGCTTTTGAGTTTAATGAATGGGCAAAATATTGATGGGTAAGCCCTCTGAGAAGGACTCCTAAAGTGTCTACCTGCTGATGCTGTAACCTTCAAGTATTGGTGGGTAGGCCCTATGAGAGGGACCCCTAAAATGTTTCCCTACTGATGCTCTAGCCTTCAGATACAAAAAACTATCATTTTAAAGCTCTATCTCATCCTTCTCTCCAAGTAGGTTGATTTGGGGCGTCTGAAGGGTCAAGAACAACCTTTGTAGGACATGTACAACTCCACAGTCTCCCCACACCTGCTCTATGGAGAAATGGAAAAAGGAAATGCTACCAAAGTTTTCAACTCAGTTTACATCAGATGCTTAACATATAATTGTTTGGGGTGGCAATTATATATGTGTGCCCATGCATAAATACTCTAAAGCAGTAGTTCTCAACCTGTGGGTCCCCAGGTGTTTTTGCCTACAGCTCCCAGAAATCCCAGCCAGTTTTCCAGCAGTTATGATTTCTGGGAGTTGAAAGCCAAAGCATCTGAGGACCCATAGGTTGAAAACCACTGCTCTAAAGGCACCAGACCCTAGCTGATCTTAGGTGCTAAACACATTCAGCCCTTAGGTGGGAGACAGCCAATAAATGTGATATATTATAGGCTATATTTCATAGGGAGGAACTGGAAAACCCATTCTGAACCTAAGAAATTCATAGGATCACTATGTCAACAGGTGACCTGAAGGCACATGCAGACACACATCTGAGAGCAACCATGATTGATCTGGATGTGACTTGGTTCCATACAAAAAAACAAAAAAACAAAGCACATCACTGCATTGTCAAGTCCCTCCTTTTTACTTTATATATGGTTATTCAATTAATGCAGTCCCCATTTTACAGGCTGTGATGTTACTGTTTTACATTTCTCTAATAAAATGAAAGACTGACAGCAAGTGCAAAATATCTGCAAATCAGTTCATCAATTCTTAGAGGACTGAGAGAAACATTTGGCTCATGTTGTGTTATGAAGAAGCAAATAGCCTCCTTTGTTCCTTGTCTTTTGTGGAGCTATATTTTACTCATCTACTAGCTTCACATTTTATTTACATGCTCATATATTTTCTAATCAAGCCCCCACAATTATGGCCAAAATGTAAGTGATGATGGCAATGAAGAGTTGATGGCAAGGTGCTGATTCTGAAATATGTGCTTTGTGCCAAGTGTTAATACCTATCATTTGTCTTAGGCTAGGGGAGATGTTGCTCTGTATTACGTTCATATATTTTTAACATTTGTGTATTTTAATACTTGTTTGCATTGCTTTTGTTTTTTCTTTTTCTTTGTTTTGTTTAAAAAGGTATCCAAGAAATGTAGTAAATAATAACGGTTCCCAGCAGGGTGCTTTCCAGACAAAGGTCTTTGTTATTCAAAGCTTGAATGTCACCAGATAGGCATGTGATGCTGATCTAATGTTAGTAGATCTCCCATTGGTCAGGTATATGGTTGTTGTTTTTATGAGATGAAGAACTATATAATTAGAGTGGTAATATTTTGCATGCTAAAACATAGAGATGAAGGCGGCCTTTTCACAGAAGACACTAGGATGCAGTAGAAGATTCCCTTTGTTCCATGAGGCATATTCCTATAGCAATTTGTTGTTTAAGGCCACAATCCAACAGATGGATTTGTTGAAGTATTTTAGGCTTAAATCCTATGATACGTTAACTTTCTTTAGTTTGTACTCATTGGGTAGATGAGGACCACTATGCATTGGTAGAAGAGGTTTCGATCTTCTTACCTTCTATTTTTGTGGCGGGATTTACCTACAGCACTTTGTGGAAGTTCGAGAAAGAAATGTAATATTCTAATTAATAAGCATGACAAAAGACATGCCAAGGTCACATCTTACGCATTATATTCGCAGCTGTATGTTTGCAGTCTAGCAACCCCACCAGATTATTTCCATCTCCTTGATTTTGCTAATATAATGCTGAGGACATATTTCTGAAAATGCACATTAAAGTCATTCTAACTGGTCAATGTAATTTTTCTTTAAGCTGATTTTTCTCCCTGGGAAGAAAAGATACTGAAGGGAATACCTAGTAACTTTTAGCCCATAAATAAGGATAATATTTCTGTATAGTAAAATAGAGTTAGATCAGATAAGATTTTTTTTCTTTTTTCGGAAGGCACCAAAATGCATTATGGCTGTAGAGACAGCAAGGGCTAGAATTTTGACAGAGTATGGAACATGACTTTTCAGAAGAATTAACTTAATGACAAGTTGATACTATCTGCAACTGGGAAGTAGTGAGTCAATGTTTTCTCATTACATTTTTCCCCTTCTCAAATTCACTCTCCAGGCTCTGAATTTTGAACAGATAAATTTTGGAATAGATTTTCAGTGAAACAACAACTTGCCAATATGTCTGGTTTCAGTCCTTTGGATCTCAGCCATAAATTAAGTGGGTTTTATGTTTGTTTGCTCATTTCAATTGCACTCTGAAGCTACAGTTCTCAAGGGAGCCTTGATGCAGCTGCTTCCAGATTTTCTTGAAACTGCTTCCAATATTTAGGGATTTGGACCTTGTATACAGATCCAAAATATTTGTAACAACATATCTCCTTGTGGTATTCCTTCTGAAGTTGTTGAAGTGCAGTGGAAACACTCATGTTTCTTGATGTTGTGCTACTGCAGGTTGATTCGCCCTTATCTGGAAATCTGAAATCCTCCAAAACCTGAAAGTTTTGCTGACAGTTGCAATTTTCACCTTTGGGAAAGGGGGCTAGTCACACACCCAGTGTCTGCTAAAGGCAGGAGCCCTACAGGCAAAGTGGGAGCAAAACCATTGACCGCCCGTATCCAGCCCAGACAGAATTAAAAAGGTTTATTTGCGGGGTCCCTTCCCTTCCTGGCTACTTTTCTAAAAAGGAAGAATGAATGTTGAAAATTGAGAAAGGATCACAAACACCTGCTTTTTGTAGGAACTTTGTGTAAATCCTCTCCCTCTCTGCATTATGACTCCTTGGCTTAAACTCAGTGAGGTTAGACGTGTGACTTTACCCACCACCCCTCATTCACTATATGCAAATTGAGATTTTCCAAAATGTGAAGAAGAAAAAAAAACAGATTCAAAAAGACTTTGGATCCCAAGGATTTTGGGAAAGGGAGAGTCAACCTGTAATAGTGGTGGTGCCCTAGCTTTGGCATATGTACTAAAAGACAAGCCACCAGAACATATTTATTGCGTTATAACACTTAGCCTAGTGGGAATTTTGCTTTTTATTCCAGCTCTGAGCTGCCAGGCCTCTGTTGCTTTTTGTTTTGCTCAGTGTTCATGTCCTTATTTGTCATGTGCATGAATGTATCCACTCTTCATATGGGACTTTGAGATCTTTACATAATTGTGATGGTGATTTATTTTTGTATGAGTGCATCTATACACCAACTGGAATGAGAAGAATCGCACAGCCCAAAGGGAGAGAGTGCTTTGCGTGAACAGGCATCTCTGTGCCAACAAAAGGAAAGTCGAAGCTAAGCCTTTCGCCCTGTGCTTAACACATCTTTTATCCTTGGGTGTTCCAGCACATAGGATATCAATCACTGACAGTAGACTTGACGTGCTACGGCAAAGAAGGATTTAAGTTGTGTGGTAGCATTAACTTTGAAATTCCATGCCGTTGCTGGAGGTCAAAGAACTTGAATGTTGTTCAAAGAAAAGGCCATCTGGGATTGCCACAGGACAATGGGTTATATCAGCTTTCCATCCCAGGAGACATGGGCTCCTTTACCTTTTTAGGCTGCAAATAAAAGATCAGTTTAGTATCTCAGGAGACCTAAGGTTAGGGCAGTGGAACCAGGGCATTGTAGGTCAGGAATGAGGTTCACTGGTAAAATGCTATGCCAGGACAGTTCTCAGTAGTTTCATCTTTGTCAAGCCTGTTTGGTCAGCTCTCCGAATTCTTTGGCACTAAGAGCCTGATCGGTATTGCTAGTTGTTTGTGCTTAGAAAAAGTGGCATTGCTTTATTGTCCCAAAATGGACAAGCTAACAACATTGATTAGGGAGAAATCATTGGTGACTTTTGTTATTGGACTTCTTTAATTAGATATGAATAATATGTTGACTTGTGGGTTGCGTATAATTGTTATAGGGAGGGTTGGAAGTTAAATGTCTATTTCTTTTTAATTTTATTAATATTCTTTATTTTTTCTTTATATTTTCTAGCTTTTATTGTTTTTCCTTTTCTTGTGTGTTATTTTTATTGTATTTGAAAATGCTTCTTACGGAGGAAAAGTGCCATTACTTTAGACAAAATAATTCCTTCTTCGAAATGAAAGCCATATATATAATTACATGTTGCCAAGTGTGCACTGCTGACTTTATTAACCATAATGACAAACGTATTAATGCATTATTGTTGTCATAACTAACTGTGCTGTATTGTCACTTTATGTTTATCATAAAAGAACTCTGCAAAATAATCATTTGTATTTTGGGGAAGGCTGAACCATACTATCTTCCCTTGTAAATTGTCACAGTAAATCTTGTAAGAGGTGAGACTTTTTAGACTTTGACATCAATAAAACATGATCTCCCCACTACTAACTTTGCTATTGTGTGCCTTCAAGTGATTTCTGATTATCCTAAGGTGAACTTATGGATTTTTCTGGGGCTGAAAGTATGTGACTCACCTAAGGTCACTCAGTGGGCTTCCATGACCGAGTGGGGAATCAAACCCTGGTTTGTGGAGTCAGTGCTTAAACCTCTACGCTATATTGACTTTCTCCTCACATATGTGCATATATTTTCCTTGGGATACACATTTCCCTGGGACACATGTCAGTAAGAGGCATGCAAAAACTAAATTTAGGAGGAAAAAAATGTTAGCCTCAGATATACCAATTGTTTTTACAGTTGTGCCTTCCTCAGCCAATCAGCGACTCAAGGCGGTTACCAACAAATCAATACACATAAAATCATAATACAGATTAAAACATTAAAACAGTATAAAACACAACAAGAGCAATAAAAACAACATCATTAGTGTCTCCTTATTATCAAGCATTGTCCAGTTCCATTGTCAAGTCATTTGATTTCCTATATTAGCTACTCTGCATTTGTAAACGCTTGCTCAAACAACCATGTTTTAACTTGCCTCTGAAACGTTAAGAGGGAGGAAGCCGATCTAATCTCCCTAGGGAGGATGTTCCATAGCCAAGGGGCCACCACTGAGAAGGCCCTGTCTCTCGTCACCGCCAGATGTACTTGTGACGAAGGTGGGACCAAGAGCAGGGCCTCCCCAGATTATCTTAAAGTCCTCAATGGTTCGGAAGGGGAGATGTGTTCAGACAGCTAAGTTGGGCCTGAACTGTTTAGGGCTTTATAGGCCAAAGCCAGCACTTTGAATTGGGCCCAGTAGCAAACTGGCAGCCAGTGTCATAGTCTTTCTGTAGTAGTGACATGTACTCCATTTACACCGAAGTTGTAGCAATTATTGCCGTGGATGTAGCGTACCTGGATTTCAGTAAGGCCTTCGACAAGGTCCCCCATGACCTTCTGGCAAGGAAACTAGTCCAATGTGGGCTAGGCAAAACTACGGTGAGGTGGATCTGTAATTGGTTAAGTGGACGAACACAGAGAGTGCTCGCTAATGCTTCCTCTTCATCTTGGAAAGAAGTGACAAGTGGAGTGCCGCAGGGTTCCGTCCTGGGCCCGGTCCTGTTCAACATCTTTATTAATGACTTAGATGAAGGGCTAGAAGGCATGATCATCAAGTTTCAGACGACACCAAATTGGGAGGGATAGCCAATACTCCAGAGGACAGGAGCAGGATTCAAAAAATCTTGACAGATTAGAGAGATGGGCCAAAACTAACAAAATGAAGTTCAACAGGACAAATGCAAGATACTCCACTTAGGCAGAAAAAACGAAATGCAAAAAATACAGAATGGGAGACGCCGTGGCTCGAGAGCAGTATCTGTGAAAAAGATCTTGGAGTCCTCATAGACAACAAGTTAAACATGAGCCAACAATGTGATGCGGCAGCAAAAAAAGCCAATGGGGTTTTGGCCTGTATCAATAGGAGTATAGTGTCTAGATCCAGGGAAGTCATGCTACCCCTCTATTCTGCCTTGGTCAGACCACTTTACCTGGAATCACACTCTGTCCAGTTCTGGGCACCGCAATTGAAGGGAGATGTTGACAAGCTGGACTGTGTCCATAGGAGGGTGACTAAAATGATCAAGGGTCTGGAGAACAAGCCCTATGAGAAGCGGCTTAAAGAGTTGGGCAATGTTTAGCCTGAAGAAGAGAAGGCTGAGAGGAGATATGATAGCCATGTATAAATATGTGAGAGGAAGCCACAGGGAGGAGGGAGCAAGCTTGTTTTCTGCTTCCTTGGAGACGAGGACGCGGAACAATGGCTTCAAACTACAAGAGAGGAGATTCCATCTGAACATTAGGAAGAACTTCCTGACTGTGAGAGCCGTTCAGCAGTGGAACTCTCTGCCCCGGAGTGTGGTGGAGGCTCCTTCTTTGGAAGCTTTTAAGCAGAGGCTGAATGGATGGCCATTTGTCAGTGGTGGTTTGAATGCAATATTCCTGCTTCTTGGCAGGGGGTTGGACTGGATGGCCCATGAGGTCTCTTCCAACTCTTTGATTCTATGATTCTATGATTTCTAAATTTGTATAAGACATATATACAGATTTAAAGGAGATCAGAGCATTCTTTTCAGGTGATGCATAATAAGCTATACCTCCTTGAAGAATTGACCAAACTTTATTTTAAAAAAGGTAGTGTTTGATCTAATGGTGGATTCCCAGATGTTGTGTCTACCTATACCTTTGGTGGAATTAGAGATCTAAAATGAGTGTTTTCTGTATCAGCCATTCCTCTGGACCTGATGCACATCAAGAGGATGATAGGTCTGTTTTATGGAGTGGGGGGGGGGGTGGAATGTGTTTAGGAGGAACCTGGATCCCAAGGTCCCCTAAGGTAGACGAGGGGGTCAGAGCTGTGGGCCACACGCACTGCCCTGCGGCTCCTAGACAAGTTTGCTATCATCAGTAGAGTAGGTGAGACTCTCCTGAGATCGGCATTGATCCGGTGGCCAATGTGATTCAGTATAGAATAAAAGAAGGAAGCCCTGTGTCATGCATCACCTCTGGCTGGAGAATGCTTTGAAATGGCTCTGATTCATTTCTAGAGGCAACTGTTTTGCCCTCTTTGCATCTGATTTGTGAGAAGAACAGTAGTATGCAACTAAACTGTTGTGATGTTGACTTATGTTTTGTACTCATAGTCTTTCAAAAGGAAAACAAAGCAAAATGGCAAGGCATTTTCTTGAGTTGTGAAATGTCTACTTGTATTTTACAAGTTCTTTCTTGTCATTATCTTTGATTCTTCATTAGGTTAGGAAGCAGACTCTATTAATAGATAAGTAGAGTGTGAAGACTGGGAAGGTGCCCAGTCTCACTTGATACCCACACAGTGACATATAATTTACTCATAGACGACAACCCTGCGCTATTATTGTTCTAAAGTACGATTGTTTCTCTTAATTGACATCTACAGTGCCACTGTTAGGTACTTCATGTGCCTTAACAAATAATGTTTTGCCCTATGACAGAAGAGTTCTGTGTTATTTTATGTCAATCACAATTTCTTTGTCTAACCTACCTCACAGCAGAGCTGATAAGATATAATTAGAAGTAAAAGTTTCCTTTGACATTAAGTCTAGTTGTGTCCACTTGTTGGCTTCTCCTGCACACACCCCCGCCCGCAACTTTCTTCAAAGTTTCAGACTAGGACCAGAAAGTGTAAAAATTCTGAGAGAAATTCTCCTTTGAGAGTGATTAAATGCTGTTGGATTGCTGCTTTCTCCCTCCTTTCCTAAATTGTTGCAGATGTATACAGTTTCCTTTCTTGGTGTGAAATGCTTGTAGGTTCTACCATTGTGTAGCTGCACCCCTGATCTCCTTCCCTTGTCGTTTTCACTACTTTTCATCCTATTTATTTGCATTCATCTTTTTCACTCTTCCTCTCTTTTGTTATCTTTTATCTTATTCCCTCACCCAAGTTCTCCTGGCTATATTCAACTTCTTTTTCCTATTGATCTACTCACATTTGCATGTTTTTGAACTGCTAGGTTGGCAGAAGCTGGGGCTAACAGCAGGAGTTCATCCTGCTCCTTGGATTTGAACTGCCAGCCTTTCAGTCAGCAAGTTCAGCAGCTCAGCAGTTTAACCTGCTGCATCACTAGGGGTTCCTTAGAAGTATGCATGACACTTTATATCTAGGATCTATACCATCTTCTCTTTCTCCCACTCATCATCTTTATCCTTACATCTCTACATTTTCACTAACATCAACTGATTTACAAATGGATGGCACTATTTTATACTGATGCAAAGTAACTCTTAAGATCTTTAGTTTATTTACTTTGGATATTTATTTACTTGGAGTCCACATTTGAAATGCTGCTCAGCAAAACACCCCCTGATGGACTACCTTGTCCATCAGCATGTCCTGGTAGGCTAATTTATTGACAGGGTTGTCATCGTATCAGTTGAACCAGCATTTTGAATTTTTACAGTGTAGTATTGTAGAACATTGAAAAGATGACTAACCCCAGCCATCCAATCCTTCTTGGAGTTTCAGGCCTGGGAAGAGAAGAGATGAACTGGAGATCAAAGTATCATCTGAGCAGCCTACCAGGCAATGTTTTGAAAAACATACTTCCTGCTGGCCTAGTAGTGGTCATGGAGGCAGGATTATACTAGGAGTTGTAAGCTATCCTGATTCTTTTGACCTGGCATCTATTAGAGAATGGCAGATACTGGTAGATAATTTCTTTTGGAAAGGCAGTGGATAACAGCTATATCTGCCCTTAAATAATAATTGCTCTTAGATAAAGGTGTTCATTCTATGTGCAAGTGTGGTGAAGGGGTAGAGTGTTAACCTGGAACCTGGGAGATCTAGGTTCCTGTTTCTCTCTCAGCCCCATCTGCCTCACAAACTTGTTGTATGGATAAAAGTGGAGATGTGTAAATCCATATTGTTTACGTTGTTCTTGCGTGCCTTCAAGTCATTTACGACCAACGGTGATTCTAATGTGAACCTATTATGGTCACTCTACATGAACCTATTACAGGGTTTTCTGGGGCTGAGATTGTGTGACTTGCCAAATATCACCCAGTAGCTTTCCATGGCCAAATGGAGAATTATACCCAGGTCTTGAGTCATAGTCCAACACCCAAATCTTTATGCCATGCTGGCTTTCATAGAGCTCAGGGCAGGGATATAATGTAACCAATAAATAAAATAAGGAAGCACCTGGTTGTGCCTTTTGTTTTGACACACACAATCCTTTGGGATGTTTGGATTCTAATTTAAACTCTTTATTGCAGTGCTGAGAGGAGGACCACTTCCAAAAATTTATAGGCTGCGTCAGCTGCAAATACACTGGGGTTCTACAGATGACAAAGGCTCGGAGCATGTTGTGGATTTGCAAAGGCATGCGGGAGAGGTGAGTCCATTTAGGTACTTATTTACTTATGTACACACTCATTATATTGTGTTTCTCACAACTTAGGACATTATCATATGATGTTAGTAATGCATCATTTGCATTCCTGCCAAGTGACAGCATTTATATTTTCCTTGTTTCAGATTCAGTTGGTGCACTGGTGTTCTAAATATAGCAATTATCTCGATGCTTGTAGAAAAAATGATGGTGTGGCCATTTTGGCAATGTTTTTGAAGGTAAGCTGATTTGATTTGTATTCTTCTTTTCTCTCAGAACTGAGATCCAAAGCAACTTACAAAATAATTAAAAAGCAAGCTAATTTACCAATATTAAAATACAATTAAACCAATTATAATGTTACACCGCAAATTAAGTTATACAAAACATAACTACATCAACAACAGGAATGATTATTTTCAGTACAAGCAAATGTCTTTTATGTCTAGTTAATTACCCAAGGCCTGCTGGAATAGAAAGGTGTATGCCGGATAGTGGATGATTCAGCAAAAAGCCCAAACTTCCTCAGAAGCAGCCATTGAGAAAATCCTCTCTTGTTATCTTCACCAAATCCCTCAGAAGTTTGAGGAGACAAAGATGAGATAAAGAGAATATTCTCTTCACAGATCTTGAAGGCTCAGCACATTTGTATGAAAAACTCTTGTCTTTCAGATAACCCTGACTCAAAATTTAATATATGATATGAACATTTTTAGTTGTCTTTCCTTTTTTCTGCCCAGTTCTGGAGAGTAGGGTGTCCTCTGCTATTGGGCTAAATCCAGTTGTTAGTATCAACTAGAGTAGACCCACTGAATCAAAAAAATATATATTAATCTCATTCATTCAGTAGGTAAACTAGTTCAGTGCTACTCAAAAGGGTGGTCTATGAATTGATGCTGGTCTTAGGAGAGTTTCCAGGGAAAAAAAGAAAACACTGTAGGAAATGAGCACAAATGTGATATCAGTCCGTGACACATGGAGGAAAAACTACGGATCCCCCACATCAGGTAGTTTAAAAAGCACTGCCCTATACGAACCACCAAGGATCTTATTGCAATTGTGTTTGGTGGGGATGAGAGACAGGGCCTTCTCTGTGATGGTCCCTCAGCTGTGGAACTCCCTCCCTAATGAGATCAGATCTGACCCGTCACTCCTGACCTTCCGGAAGAAACTCAAAACCTGGATGTGGAATCAAGTGTTTGCAGAATAGACTGACTTGCAGGGGAAGACAATGCTTTTAATGGACTGCAATGGACAGAGGATAATGATCTAAACTGGCAGATTGTTTTAATGTATATTTATAATTGTTTTACTTGTGTTATTGTATTTTATGCTATTTTTTATTCTGTGCTGGTACTGAATAGTGCCGGTTGGTAGTCATCCTGAGTCCCTCTTTGGAGGCCGAGAAGGACTGGATACAAATGCCCCAAATAAATAGAGATTAACAATTTAGGCAATTAGTCTCCATATTACATTGTGTCTGAAGTGACTTACTAGTAAAACACAATCTGTATTCCTATATCTCCTTTTCTGAGTATGAAGTCCATTGGATACAATGGAACCTATTATGAATTGCATTTCTACAACACACATAGGCATACAGATCTGCTATCTGTCAAACAAATCTAGAAATCCTACCCAGTGTGCTGTTGTTTCTAATTACAGTGTAAGAGTTCGAAGCACCACAGGTTTCTTCTAGTATGACATTATGAGTAGCAATTATATTGATTATAACTAAGCAGTACTGCTAAGTGAAGTTACAACACCTCTCCAGCAGCATTAGGCAGGCTTAATTGGAAGCAACTCTTCCTGAAATCAATGAGACTTGCTCCCTAGTGAGTGAGTTTTAGGAGTGCAGTTCTAACTGTAATTGGTTTGATTATCATATAACTGCATGTCTATTTGAGAGAAAGCCCCAGTAACCAGATCCAGTGGCATAGATTGACTGTATCCCCATGCTTCTCTCAGGATTGGTGATGTCCTTTCCTTCTTGCATCTTCACAGACACCCTAAAACTCTGCCCTGGAGTAATGGGAAACTCTTTGGAGTAGGTATTTATTAGGGCTGGGCGGTTTCGTTCGTTAATTTTGTAATTCGTTAATTATTCGTTATTTTTATTATTTACAAAATGATTTCAAAACTTATTTTCAAACCCGGAAGTGTTTTTTAATAGCGAAACAGCATCCTCCATCTTTTTTACGAGCTTCCGCCCGTTTCGGAAATGACGTTTAAGGATGGAGGATGCTGGGTGCGCCGGGAGCCAATCCGGTGCTCCCAAGCACCGTGTCTCATTCTGATTGGGCGGGCTGCCCTTTAAAAGCGGCTCCGCGTGTCCGCATTGCTCATTGCTGGGAAGGCGAGGAGACGGGAGGTGCGGGAGGCTTGCTTCAGTTGGGACTCGGGAGAGCATTTTGGGTGGGAGGGAGCAGGAGGCATTGCTTGCTGCTCTTGTGTGTGTGTGTGTTTCACCCAGTTGTTGTGTGCCTGTGGCTGTTTTTGCCCCACTACAGGGCTAGCAGGAGGCATTGCTTGCTGCTCTTGTGTGTTTGACTTTGTCTTTGGTGAAACAAAAGCTCTGTTTCACCCAGTTGTTGTGTGCCTGTGGCTGTTTTTACAGGGCTAGCATTTTGTAAATTTTCTATTTTTCTGCTAAATATTTCTTCTATTATTTAAAAAAATTAAAAAAATATTCAAAAAAAGAAAAGAAAAAAAACATTTCTCTTTGGTGAAACAAAAGCTGTTTCACCCAGTTGTTGTGGCTGTTTTTGCCCCACTACAGGGCTAGCATTTTGTTAATTTTCTATTTTTAAACCTTTTCTGCTAAATATTTCTTTTATTATTTAGAAAAATTAAAAAAATATTCAAAAAAAAAGAAAGAAAAAAACACATTTCTCTTTGGTGAAACAAAAGCTGTTTCAACCAGTTGTTGTGGCTGTTGTTGCCCCACTACAGGGCTAGCATTTTGTTAATTTTCTATTTTTAAACTTTTTTTTGCTAAATATTTCTTTTATTATTAAAAAAATTTTAAAAAATATTCCAAAAAAAAGAAAAAAAAACACATTTCTCTTTGGTGAAACAAAAGCTGTTTCACCCAGTTGTTGTGTGTCCTGTGGCTGTTTTCGCTCCAGAACAGGGCAAGCATTTCATTTGTGTAGTTCCAACCAGTGCGGCCCTTTTGCCAACACAAAGTGCTATAATACAGTGCTCCTTCCTTATTTGTGTAGTTCCAACCAGTGCTAACACAAAGTGCTATAATACAGTGCTCCTTCCTTATTTGTGTAGTTCCAACCAGTGCGGCCCTTTTGCCAACACAAAGTGCTATAATACAGTGCTCATTATTTGTGTGTAGTTCCAACCAGTGCTAACACAAAGTGCTATAATACAGTGCTCCTTCCTTATTTGTGTAGTTCCAACCAGTGCGGCCCTTTTGCCAACACAAAGTGCTATAATACAGTGCTCATTATTTGTGTAGTTCCAACCAGTGCGGCCCATAAGCCAACACAAAGTGCTTTTTCTCATTTGTGTAGTTCCAACCAGTGCGCTCCTTTTGCCAACACAAAGTGCTATAATACAGTGCTCGCTTATTTGTGTAGTTCCAACCAGTGCGCTCCTTTTGCCAACACAAAGTGCTATAATACAGTGCTCGCTCATTTGTGTAGTTCCAACCAGTGCGCTCCTTTTGCCAACACAAAGAGCTACATACACTGCTCGCTCATCATTTGTGTAGTTCCAACCAGTGCGCTCCTTTTGCCAACACAACCCAAATGTGAAGTTGGTCCTTCTTACTTAACTTGCAATACTGCTACAGAAATTAGTATGTATGCAATACTTCCCAGATAATTTTCAGAGTTTTTTCAAAGTGCAATTTCTGTTACTTTTTGTTACTTTTTCTTTATTTATTTCTTATATTTACTTTCTAAGTTTTTATAATAACATTATTTTTATATATTAATAATTTATAATTTAATTTTATATATTATTTTTATTATTATTTATAATTATATTTTATAAATATTTTATAAATTTAATTATATTTTATTTAAATATTTATATTATTATTTATTTCATTTATATAATATATATAATAATATATTATTATATTATATTATATTATATTATATATTATATAATTTTATATTATTTATTATTAATATTTATTATTATTATTTATAAATTATTATTATTTATTATTATTTATATTTATTTAAAATTTATTATTATATTATTGTTTATTTCATTATATTATTTGACTCAGTTTTGGCTACTTTATCTATATATTATATAATTTTATATTATTTATTATTAATATTTATTATTATTATTTATAAATTATTATTATTTATTATTATTTATATTTATTTAAATTTTATTATTATATTATTGTTTATTTCATTATATTATTTGACTCAGTTTTGGCTACTTTATCTTATTACTTTTTTATTTAATATCTTAATATCTTATTCTATTTGATTATTTTATTTGATTTATTTTATGAAATGATTTTGTTTGTAGAGCATTTAGCATTGCGCAATCGCGTCCGCCATTTTAACGAATCGATTCGTTATCATTTTAATAACGAATCGATTCGTATTTAATAACGAAGTTTCGGAAGTCGTTTTTTGCACATGCGCAACGCGTCTGCCATTTTAACGAATCGATTCGTTATCAACTTACCGAATCGATCCCCTGTTCCAATAACGAAGTTTCGGAAGTGATTTGCGCATGCGCGGGGGTCCGCCATCTTAACGAATCAATTCGTTAATATTAACGAAATTTCGTAAATATCAAACTTTTTAAAAGGAAAATTTCGGAATTATTTTAAATAACGAAACGCAAAAAACGAATCGATTTTAGAAACAATTTTTTCCGTTGTTACCCAGGCCTAGTATTTATTTACTCTTTGGAAGGCTCCATAGCAAAGATAGAGAAAAAATAAGAGTTTAGGGTTTTGTTTTTGTTTTTTTGGTACAGAACTATCCCAATTGATTCTGGTCGCTGACTTGAGTGAGACTTACTTCCCCAATAAATTAGTTTTGGATTACAGTATGAAACTGCTTTGGAGATTAAAGGTACCACAGTTTAATGGGACCTTCCTACATTTTTAATACAAAGCTAGAGATTGCAGCTATTATGAAAGAGTATTTCTAGTAGAGTTGAGCCTACCAGTTTGTTTTATTATTATTTGTTATTTATTTATTTTGGACATTTGTATCCCATCCTATCTCGACCTCCGCAGAGGGACTCAGGGTGGCTAACAACTGGCATGCCATGGTGCCCACAACCAAAAGCATAAATATACAATTTAAATAAAAACAGTATAAAAACATTCAGACAGTCAAACAGTCGCCAATTTAAATCACTTGTGGGGAAGGAGGCACTAGTTGGCCAGTTGCTCTCCCACCGCTGAAGCACGTGCTGCTGAAAGTGCCTGCTGCAGACCCTTTGATCACAACTACCATTATTAAAGATGTGACTTGTAGTCCAGCATATCTGGAGAGTGTGAGACTGCAGAAGATTGTTTTGTTTTTATTTATTTATTTACTTCATTTATACACTGCTTTTCTCACCGTGGGGGGGGGGGGGGGCTCAAAGCAGTTTCCAAAATATTCACGGCAAAATTCAATGCCTAACATATGAAAAATCAAACATGAAACAACAATAACATATAGCTATCAACTAAATCATAAAATGTAATAACATTTAGACATTAAAATGTGAGGTTAAAATATATTGATAGAAACATAAACATCACATTGTATGCAGGGATTTCTTATTACAATTTTCTTTTTTTTATCAAACAATTTTTAGTAAACATTTGCAACTAAAAGTAAAAAATAAATTCATATTGGGGGTGTGGGAGTGAAAAAGAGAAGGAAAAAGAGTAATTTGGCAATAGTAGATTTGTTATTGCTTGCATCTTTACAAATAACTAATATGTCGCAAGGAAAGAACAAAGAGGTGGAGATTACTGGGGCATGAGGAGTTCTTTTACAGAATTATTGTTACAACTAAGTCTTCTCTATTACTTTAACACACATTTAATAAAATATTGAAGACTCTAACAAATTTAATTTTAAGTCTGCTGATAGTATCTTCTTGTGTATTCTCACATATCTTCTTTTTCAGTTCTTCATTGGAAATTCATCTTGATTATTCATGGCAGATCATTTCACTTAATTATTTTCTTTGTTTATTATTATCTATAGAGAAAATTCTACAGTTGGTTTAAACTGTTAGTAATAATAGCGTTAATAATAATAATTACAACTCTATTTTTGTATCCCACCACCATTTCCCCGAAGGGACTTGGGGCGGCTTACATGGGGACCAAACCCGGTCAGGCAGAGGTAAAATATAACACAAAAATTACATATACAACATCATAAAAACATAATTAAAAACATAATTCATCATACAATAACCAGTAGCCGAGCATAATGGACATAACTAAGGGGTGTGGGTAAGGCTTGTGCAATACAATTGTCAGGACAGGGCTGATGGCAAAGTGCGAGAGGCAGATGATAAATTAAGGCTGGAAGGGCCAAGTCAGATTTGTACAGTACAACTCCAGGGCACGGACAATAGCAAAGTGCAAGAGTTGAGAATGAAGTTATGGCTAGAAGGGCCAATTCTTTTAATGAATCGATTCATCAAAGGCACATTGGAACAACCATGTTTTTAGGTCTTTACGGAAGGTGGACAGGGTGGGGGTTAATCTAATCTTTTTAGGGAGAGAGTTCCAGAGCTTTGGGGGGGGGGCACCACTGAAAAGGCCCTTTCCCTTATTCCCATCAGCTTCACTTGTGACTGAGGTGGGAGTGAGAGAAGGGCCTCCCCATCTGGTCTCAAAGCTTGCGCAGGTTCGTAGATTAGTAGATTAATATATAAAAAAGCCTCTCATACCTTCTCTCTTTTTGTATTACATCAGATTTATATAATGCTATATAACCAATCCATTTTATTTAGTCCATCCCAATCTTATTAGTTGATGCCATTTTCACAACATTTTGGGTGAATGATTAATACAAAATGCAAGTGTGTGTGTGTGTGTGTGTATGTATATGTATATGTATATAATATTAATAACATTTTCCATCATGTCTCTTGGATTCTCACTTTCTTGGTCCTTATATATATTTATTAGATTAAAAGCAAATTTCAATGCCTCACATACTGCAGCACAATTTAATTTATTAAATTTGGCCATTTCAAAAAGCTCTTCAGATCAAACCAAAATCACTCAGTATTTTAATTTTATTGTCCATTTTTAAAGACTTTCCCAGATAGCTTCTGAAGACCAAGTCTCTCCAACTTCTCTTTCTAGAAGTTTTGTTCCCTCTTCTTAATCTATATTTCCTTCTGAATCTACATACACAGTCATCTTTTTATTTATCTTGTCCTTTTCTTGACAGAATTGATAGTCATATTTTTGTTATTTTTTCTATTGCTGGCAGTTGAAAAAGAGATTTCTCTGATTCCTCAGGGAGTGGTAACTCTTGTTAGACTAAGCAGCTTATTTTATGGTCGAATTCAAGACACCCTAATCCTTCTCTTTGAACTGGCAAATTATAAATCACAATGAGGCAAGATTCTTCTTAAATTATTTAATCAAACATTTGCATTATAATTCCATTTAGAGGTTATTTATATTGCAAGGGGAGCTTTTTCTTGCTCATTCTTTTATCTTCCCTTATTTACAGTTCAGATCAATCTTATTTGCTTTACTAATTGCTTTTACTGCGTGTCTTTTACTGGTTTGTTTCAAAGCCAGATATCCTTTAGAAAATCATTAAAACATTCTCTTTCATGATACTTGTGATTGATTGTGTTTCTGTTTTCATGTTATTTCCCCTTCTCCTTCTCTTCTTTTCTCCTCTCTCCACAATTAGGACCTAGAAGTTCTTGTTTTCTTTGCTTCTTTCCTTTGATTTGTAAAAATCTTCAGGGATGTTGGGGTGTTAAAAAATGAAAAAAAAAAGCTTGCTGACTCAGGACAGGGATAATAGCTGTGGTTTACAGCTGCAATCTGACTCTGACTCGTGTATGTTTCGATGCATTATTTTCTTCTCTCAGCCATTCTGCCTTGGGAAGGCTGTCACCATGGAATCCTTTTGGGGGATTCTGCTGGTCTGGCAGTCCTTTTTTAATAGCTATTATGCAATAAGTTTACACAGTTATCTGAATCTTTAATAAATCTAGCCTAGATAACCTTCCTGGCACATTGCAGGACACTTGGAAGCCACAAAATCGGTTGCTTGCCGGCAGTTATCTCATCACCATTGTCCAGCTTATTGCATTTTTTCTTATTACTTTTCAGTGGTCTCTTACTATCTTCTGTTTCAGCTGCATTATATATGTACTTACCTTTGGAATCCCTATATCCTCACTGATATCAGAACTATGTCTTCCTTTTCCATTGAGCAACAAGCCAAGTATAATAAGCAATCGGACAACTACATAATTCTAAATCCCCTGATGTTTTAAGACCCTACCAGTATTATTTGTGTTGGGTTTTTTCTGTGTAAGATGTTCTTGTAATTTTTCTGATGGACAGATGGGGTGCTTAAAGAACAGTTGTTATTATTTATTGCAAGTTGTTTTGATTCAGAGCTTAATGGTGGAAAAAAACTCTGGAACTCTCTCCCACTGGAGATCAGAACTGCCCCTTCTATCCTGACATTTAGGAAACAGGTGAAGACTTGGTTATGGAGACAGGCATTCGACGAGTGAGCCAACACCCTGAGATATGGATGGAGGATGATGAGCAACGATTTTAGTGTGACGACTGACCATTATAGTTATTGATTGTAATTGCTGTTTTAATGTTTTCCTGTAATATGTATTATGATGTTTTATTGATTGTATGTGATATTATGGTTGAAAACCGGTCTGAGTCCCTCAAGAGAGGTGAGAAGGCCAGTATACAAAACTTTTAAGTAAATAAAATAAATAAATAAAAAATGGGCTTCTTCAGAAACTCACCATGATCTTGTTTCATGACAGGTAGGAAAAACCCCCAAACCAGAGATGAAAAGAATTATTGAAGAATTGGACGCCATTAAGACAAAAGTAAGTAGGAGAATTCAATTAAGTATTTGACAATGCGGTATATGACATGACCCCAAGAGAGGATGGGAAAGTTAATTTTTCAGATTATAATACCCAGAATGCCCAGCCGGCATGATGAGTATGGCCATGATGCCTGGGTATTTGGAGAGGCAGTTCAAAAAAGGAACTCTATCAAACTCTTGTCCCAGTGAAGTAAGAGGGGTGAGTATTCTTTCCTTAAGCATGGAATTTATAACAACCAGCAAGCTGAACAACATCTGAGGACTCAGAGACAGCAAAAGAAACAAGAGAGGAGGATCAGGAGACTTCTCTCTTGTGTCTTCAGATTTCTACATAAGTACAGCTGCTACTCCTAAACGGTTTGGACCCAGACTATTTGAAAAACGACATCTCTGTATACAAACTGTGGTCTGCGGAGGAGGCCCTGCTCTCAGTCCCACCCCTGTCTCGAGTGTGGTTGGTGGGAAGGAGAGAGAACTTTAGCTTACCAAAACGCGGACTGGTATATATATCCCCTCGCCTAGATATATTGGACACCTAGTTCTGCCCACTGGATGTTGGAAACCGTCTTAGCTTTTAATGTTTTTTTAGTTTAACTTTTAAGAGTTTGTCATGTTTTAAATGCATGTGATTTACTATGGTATGTCTATTTATGCTTAATTTTTGGTTATTTTTGGTTGTTTTATAATTTTATATTAAGATTGTTTTATCCACTGTTTTGATTTGTTATTTGTTTGTTTTCAGAATTGAATGTTTGCCATTTTGTTACTTTTGCTAGAAACAGCCCTGAGTCCCCTTGGGGATATAGGGTGGATTATAAATAAAGTATTATTATTTATTATTACTTCTTGCTGAATTTAAATCTACTGAATCTGTTACATTCATGTAAGAGTTTACTGAACAATTCAGCAATTAAATCTTGAATGTTCAAACCACAACATAACAGTATGGAAGAACAGCAAATTGTGGTCACCATAGAAGTTTCTAAATACACTGGAGTGGCAGTAGTAGCAATGTCTAGTGTAGCTTCCTCCTTCCCATGAGTACTTCACTTTGTATACCTTTTAAAGGAGTTTAATCATAACAATCAAAGTAGAATCATAATGCTGCAATTGTGTAGTATGAAAAGACCTAGGAAAGCCCCACAGCCCAATAAAAGTAATGGAGAAAATCACATAAAATGGTCACATAAAAACTCAGTTTGTGTCCATCTGTGTCTATGTGAAGAAAGGCCTCTATACAAGATCTCAACTGTATCTTCTCTTTTCATCTGAAGTATTTATTTCTTACTTATTTAAGGGGAAAGAAGTTCCTTTTCCAAACTTTGATCCATCTATTCTTTTCCCGCAAAATCGGAATTACTATACCTACCAAGGCTCCTTCACAACACCGCCCTGTGAAGAGTGTGTTACCTGGATTATTCTGAAAGAGCCTCTAATTGTCAGTGAGGATCAGGTAAACTTTAGAGATGAACACATATCTCTTTTTTCCCCTTTTATATTCATACTTTATACAAACCAAGTCTGTATATATAGTTTACTGAAACCCTTGCTCCATTAATCAGAAGTTTTCATTCAGTGTTCATTGTTGTTGTTGTATGCCTTCAAGTTGTTTCCAGTGTATGATCACCCTATCATGGGAGTTTCTTTCTGCACGATTTGTTCAGTGTGGGATGCCTTTGCCTTTTTCTATGGCCGAGACAGTATGATTTGATCAAGCTGGGTTTCCATGGCTAAGTGAGGATTTGAACCCTGGCTCCAGAGCTGTAGGCCAGCACTTAAATTACTGTACCATATGGGATCCTCAGTATTAATAAATCCTGAGAAAAGCTGGAACATTTCATCAAAATACTGTGATTTTCATTTTTTATTGAGATATACTTAGTTTTACTCGACATGAGACTGTACTCAAGGAAAAAGAGCCCTTGGCCTGTACCTAATATATTATTATATCATCATCATCTCATCATCATCATCATCATCATCATCTTTATTTATACCCCGCCACTATCTCGGCTAACATGAGGCCAAGCCAAACAATTATAATAAATCAAAATAAAATGCATACAACAGATAATAACATCAAATATAATGCAAACAATAACAAATAATACAATAGGGTAAACACAGGATGTGAGATAAAAAAGTAAAGAAGTTTAGCACAGTGGGCTGGGCCAAATGCAAGGGATAAAATTATACAATCCCGGGTGAGATGAATGAGTAGGGTAGTGTATCTAGGGGAGATGGGACAAATGATGGGGTTTAATTTCAATAAAGGATGAGATAAAGTACATCATGGACATTTTGTACTGAGACGGTCATGGTATGGGGGATTTGTTGTTCATTCCTCAAAAGCACACCAGAACAGCCAGGTCTTTAGGGTTATCCTAAATGCTGTTAGAATGGTACTTGCCTAATCTCTTCGGGTAACGAATTCCAGAGCTGAGGGACCACTACAGAGAAGGCCCCTTGGCTACGTATGTCTTAATGAAAGGCCTTTGAATGCAAAATGCAGATGGGCTTCAGTATGGTTTTCTTGTTCAGCAGTTGTCATTTTTTCTGAAGCCTCTCACTCCAAGCTATTTACATCATACAAACAGCTATGGGAGTTGTAATGCAAAAAAGGAATTGCCATGCTCCAATTAGGTTATGTTAAATTTGACAATCTGCTTCCAAGAAGACAGCAGCCTAAGGCTGCTTCTAACAGTCATTTAATCTGAGTCAGAACACAGTTTAAAGAGAACCGGTTCACTGTGGAGTACCTACACAGGCATCACATGAACCAGTTGTAAGCTGGGACAGTGGCCACTAAGATCCACTGATTGCAGATTGATCTGATCCAAAGAATATTTTTTCTTCCTCATCTGACAAGATGTGCTGATAAGAAGCAGCCTGACTGATGGGAATCAACAATGGAAGGAAGTAAGGCAAAGCAAAAAAGTATTCCCATGGGAATGCTGTGGTTTCCTCTCGGGGGGGGGGGTGTTTCTTTACCTTCTGGCTGAACTGTATATTTAGTTTCTTTCTTGCTTCAGCACTAGCCCTGTCCTCATGAGCAGTGCACTCCAAAATTTTGGTCTTGGATTTCTGCTTTGCATAGTATATACACTGATTGGCTTCAGTGGATTTTATGACTTGAACTGGAATTGGGATATCCAGTGAGTTTTTAAAATTTGTTGTTTCTGGCTAGATGTGTGTTACAGCCTGCATTGGGGGTGTATGTTTTGTCGACACCCCCACCTTTAGCCAGCTTCAAACAAGATTTTAGTGCCTGATTAGAAGGTTCCTCAATGTATGACCGTGTTCATATGCAAAGCTCTATCAGCACATGGCTTGTGATCTGATATGCAAAATCTATGTTGGGAAGTCTATTTGACATTTTCAATTAATTAATAATAATAATAATAATAACAACAACAACAACAACAATAGAAGAATATACATCATCATCTAAAGATGTCAGGTCATTTAATTCAGCCGAGAACCAGGAATTACAGGTCATGAATTAAGGAAAAGCCAGTGGCTGTAAAGAAGCACATTACAGCTAGGAAGACATCGTTTAGGCAAGGTTTCAATCCAAACAGGAAATCTTTTATAGCCACAACATAGTTATTGCCATAGCATATATAGCAGCCATGTTATGGTATGACACAGATTCCCCATACTAGCTCTAGAATCTCCTGGTATAGCATAACCAAGATTTCACTCAGTTGGGAAATTGAGAGAGAGCCTGTATTGGACTGCATTTCCCTCCATGGAGCAGCAGCTTTCTGTTTATGAATCTGCTTTTTACATACACATTTCTTTTGTTCAGTTTTATCTGGATTGTTTTTAATTACGTATCTGTTTTATTTCCCTTCAGATGGCAAAGTTTCGCACCCTTTCTTGCAATGCGGCAAATGAACCCTTTTCTCCCCTGGAGGACAACTGGAGACCTCTTCAGCCACTTAACCACAGAATGATTCGGACTACGTGCCAGTAGAATATTTGTTGAAGTTCACCATTTTGAGTTGTGAATATCTTATGATTTTACACTCATGCTGTTTACCAACTGTGCTGTTGAGTCAGAAAATCTGCACAATGAAACAGGACAAGTTACTAAATACATCTGACCTGTAGAACAGTACTACTCTCACCGATGGTCCCTGGATGATTGTAGGCCTCATGAGCCATTGGCTGTTGGTTTTTGGTGTTCTCCAGAAAAGAAAGGGAGGAAAACCCATAATCAATGCACAGAAATCTGGTTAACAGTCCCTATAACATTTGCAGGTCCTAGACACCAAGTAGCTTGTGATGTACTCATTACTCTGGGAAAAATTACAATCGCAGTATTAAGATATTGGATCTCAGTTTGTGATCTTTAGCAATAATAGAATTTTTGGGGAAAGTATAATTCTGAAAAGGAAATTATACTCTCCCAGATTCTTTAAGGGGTTCTTGAACTACATTCATTTCAAAAGAGATCATGTTCTGTTGTTCCAGGGCCCTTTCATACTGCAAAGTTATAATGCAATGATTCTGTTTTCATGACCATGACGGCAGCTTATGAAATTCTGAGATTTGCAGTTTAGAGAATAGTGCTTAGAATTTCCATTTAGAGAACAATAGTGTGTCATCAAACTATGAACTCCAGGATTCCAGAGAATGATGTCATGGCAGGTAAAGTGGAATCATAGTATTATAGTTAGGAAGCATGAGTTGATCCTTTATCTCCAAAACAGGTCTAGTATCCTGGATCGATCCTTCTGAATTTGGACTAATAAAAGCTGGAGTGGATTTACCATCCCCATGGACATAGAAACCACAGGTCCAGGGACTGCATGTTATCCCAATAAGAGATCTTGAAAGGCCAATCCTTTCCACTATGCCCCCACGGACATTCTTTTTACTCAAAACATCCTGCATCCTCTACAATAGGCCTGCACAACCTGGCAATAGTAAAGGGCCAAAATTAAAATAGGCGAAACTTCTTTGGGCCACATGCCCATTACTGGAGCCATTGGGGCACCTTGCTCATAGAGCCTTCATGCATAGTTGCAAAATATTTATGAACTGAAGGGCCCCCAGACTCATTCCCATAATGACCCTCTCTCTGTGGAACTGAAGGCAGTCCTATTAACCAAGGATATTAAAAGCTTGTGTGTGCGTGAAGGGATGCTCACAAAATCAAACAATAAGCTCTCTAATAGTCCCTTGAAAGGCTGAGGGATGAAGTGCGCTACCTTGACTAAAGGAAGGTGCCTAGCTTGTTAACAGAAAAAGGGCACTTTTTTTGAAACACATTACATTGCAAAAGGGTGGCAGTGGGACCAAGGAGGGTGCTAATTGTGTAAAAGTGGCTCCTTTGGTTCTCCATCTCCATTTGCACAGGGAAGTTCCCAGTACATTTCTGTCCTTGTCCTTGAGGCTCTCAAGACTCCCCTTCTGGAACCTTGGTGATGTGGAAGGAGCTTGAAAAATCAACACTTCTGCCACTTTTCCCACAAAGATTGGAGAGACTGTCTCCATGGACAATTATATTCTCATACTGGGAATATGAGGTGCAACTATCAAAGTGGCTCCCTTTCTACCTGTGCATGAGGGACTCTTTGTTTTCTTTCTCCTCTTAATCCTCCTCCTCCTGGTTTCTTGCTCCCCTGCCCTATATCTCCCCCTCTCTTTGTGCATGAGAGACTCCTCTTCCTTTTCCTCCTTGTTCACCTGGCTTTTTATTTCTCTTTTCCCTTTCTCTTCCTCTCTTTGAGAGGAACTCTTCTTCCTCCTGTCTTGTTGTTTATTCTCTTTTTCTTTCTCTCAGGGCATCTTCTTGTTTGTCCTTCTTCTCCTGGCTTCTTGCTCCCCTTTATCTCTCTTTCTGTGCGTGGTTTCTTGTTTCCTTTTTCTCCCTCTCTCTTTCTCTCTGAGAGAAACTCTTCTTCCTCCTGTCTTCTTGCGCTCTCTCTCTCTCTCTCTCTGACTCTTCCTCCTCCTTCTCCAGGCTTCTTGTTTCCCTTTTTATCTCTCTCTATCTGTGCATGAGAATTTTCTCTCATCTTCTTGGCTTCCTGTCCTTCCTCTTCCTCCTCGCCACTATCATCAGTTGTGAGGCATCCCCCCTCTCTCTTCTCTGCCTTTTTGGTCTTTTGACCTCCTGTTTCCTCTTCCCTGCCTGGGGCTGAATTAGTTCCTCTCTCTGTATTATATCCTCTCCCTTTCTAAGACTTTCTCTGAAGCTCCCCCCCCCCCCCCAGCCACCCCTGTCTTCTCCACTTTCTTTTTTCCGACTGGTTAGGTATTGTTGGGTGTCTTTAGAAATTTAAACCTAGGAATCTCTTTCGTTTCCTGCCACAGGATTGGAAGAAGAAGAGGACGGGGAGACTTGCCTGGAGAAAAAAGGGAAGGAAGGAAGGAGGGGAAATGCAATGTGAAAGAATCAGTGAGGGCTCCCAGAGAAGCAACAGACTGAGAGAGCAATGGGAAGGGAGAGGGTCTGTAACCCCTTTATTCGAAGAGGAAGAACCAGCACGAGCAGCAGGCATTGTTGCTCAGGGTGCCCTCCACCTGGCAGCCATCAGGTCGAGTGGCCTGAAGTTAAATGTTGTGCAGGTCTTCTCTTAAAAGTGTATGGACACTTTCACTGTATTTTAGGCATGGACTACATTCTTTTAAACAAAGAAATGATTTATAAAAAAACCTAGGGCCTAAAGCTACTAAGGGAAGGGGATATTGTGGTGCTAAACAGAAGACGTGGGAAGCATTTTCTGAGTTCATTTTGATGGAAAGCCCTTGAGGATCTCAAAAATGGTCCCAAGTGCCACATATATTCTACTTTCCTCACCCCTTAATTACAGGTTTGCATCATCACTCTAGTGGAACTAAGGATATACTAACTTACTTAGGCGATCCCTCGTTCTCAGAGTATGATGGTCTACCAAGTGCAGTATCTTGGTGGTGGATACGTAGGTGACTGTGGAGCCCTATTCTTGATCCGCGTGTTTTTCCACAGTGAGGGTATTGGTTTCCAGGTGGAAGGTGGTCCCGGTCAAGGTAACACATCCTATATGAAGGTGCAATTCATGAAGCCCTTCTGAGGTAATTGATCTGCAAGGCTTAGCAGCCAGGATTGCTGTTGATGAGAAACAATGGAAATTGCAGTCCAACAACACATAAAGGTCACATTCTTCTTCTATGCATACCCAGGATTCATCTTAATGGGATATAATTTTGACCAGACATGTATAAAGTTTTGCTTCTAAATAAGTGAAATGCGAATTAACAGAATATTTCCATAAAACACTGTGTCAGTTTTCCCATCCAGCATAAGTTTCATGTGGGAGAAGGGCGGGGTAGAAATGAAGGAAATAAATAATTAAATTCTGATATCAAAACAATTCATTTTGTTGTACAATTGTACATTTTTATGCTATGATTATTTTCAGGAATCAAATATCTAGATAATCTTGGTGATTACAAAGCAGATTATTGTTCTTGAGAGAAGTTACAACAGATGTTCTGGAGGGAAGATGTTACAATTTCACATTTTACTCTTTTTTTTGATGAGTCAAAAATAATTTTGGCTCTTATTGTATTATTTTGCAATTCATTTTGTGTCTGTGAAGCTGGTGTGCTTTTTATTCAGGGCTACTATGAGAAAGGGGATTAAATTTCCTAGCATGAAATTTGGGTGGAATTTCAGCTTTGAAATATACAGATGCGTTTTGAAAAGGGAACTTTTTATATAAATCCACATGCTGAAAATGCCAACGTTAAGGTTTTTGACAGACTTTTGTACTAGTCCAATGCAGATATTAGAATATTGATTGTGATTTCTTTTCAAATTTCCAAAAAAATAAAGAGCTACTTAAGAATGGCAGTCAATTTAGTTCAGAATAATATTGGTGTACTATGCTAGTGCAACTGTGCCAAAGGAGGAAAAAAACAGCAGGGGCAATGTTCATGGTGGAAGAATGACACTAGAGAATTAATTCATGGGGAACTGGCAGATTTTGTCTGCATTCCTTCACCACCCTATACTTTTCGGAAAAGTATCTGCTAGCACAGGCATGGGCAAACTTCAGCCCTCCAGGTGTTTTGGACTTCAACTCCCACAATTGTGAGAGTTGAAGTCTAAAACAGCTGGAGGGCCAAAGTTTGCCTATGCCTGTGCTAGCATATAGTGCACCAACAAAATTCCTGCTGATATTTTTAAACTGTAGTCATTTGAAAAGCTTTTACAAAAAAATTCAATGAAAATACACATTGGCTTTAAAAAAAATCATAAATTGCAAATAAAGTACAGTATAACAGTATAACCTCTGTATCTACAGGAGCACTACTTGTGGTTTAGTTTCCTGTATCTGGCAAAATATGTCTCTGTGGGTGCATTCTTCGTCTGCCAGGTGATTCTATGGTATGTTTCCACCAGAAATTGACCACAGACTTATAATTGAGGACTTCGTGATGCCTAAAGCACCTCTATGCTTTGCTTCTGCTGGAATTCATTTGTTCAATAGAGTTTGCCATTGCCCATGTTTTACCTATTTGTGCAAAGCCCTGGAACATATCTCCTGTGAATACACAAGTTGTACGCTATTTGCTGGGGGCTGTTTTTCGTTCTTGCACTGGGTTCCTGCTTCTTAGTAAGATCAGTTCAAATAGTATTGTCTGATGATATATTTGCTTTTGTAAACCAACAAAAATAAATCTATTTATCTCTGGAGCAAAGATTTCAGAATGTTTTCTCATACTTTTTTAAATGTGCATAAAACTGATTAAAGCTATTTCTATACTCTAAAGGGGATGTAGAAAGTATTTTTGCCATGTTTTTGAGTTGACTGGGCCCTTGTAAACCCAGGGGGGGAAAATAGAAGAGGAAATGACTTCCATGTTATTTGGTGGGCTTAAAAAACATACTATTCCTGGACTTAAAAAGTGTTTCCTGAACTCCTTAATGAGTGTTCTTTGAGGGGTGGGGGAACATGGTGAAAATTCTTCCTTCTTCTGGTGCTTGGCTTCCTGTTCTTCCTCTTGAAGTTTTCAAGCAGTCTTTAAAAGTAAAGCTACATTGAACACATTACAATAATCATAAATGACATCTATCTAAGACCCAGTGTTTCTAGAACAAGCTCAGATGGCTTACAAGCCTCTACTGTGAAATTACACTTTTGGCGATTACAGAAACACTAGTTTCAAGGAACTGAGTTCAATCCGGAATAAATCTGAACTGTGAACATGTGTCTTCCATGGGAATGTAATCCCATTTAGCATGGGATGAATCCCCATTCACAACTGATGAAAGCCAATGGTAGAATTCCACTGATTGTAATTTGTAATGGGTCCAAGATTTATGTACACACCATGCTGATTTCTTATGAATTTACTTTCATATAGCTCTGGAGAGAGTTGCCAAATTTGTCCTCAAGGATTTAGTGTTGCTAATCGGAGCTTGGAATTTTTGCCAGTTTTTTTTACACCTACCCCTTGGCCATACCATCACCGCTGGCTGCATTCGGAACTATCCTCCATTGCGGCTCCCTCAACACCCACCATCTTTGATAACAACTTAGAAAGACTGGTCTATAGATCTGGGCTACTTCAGGAGTGGGAGGGTGCCTTCACCTTGCACTTATTTTTATATATTACCCATCTAATAACTCATAAGCCAATGTAATAACTTGTACAAATAATTTGTAAGCCGGGTTGTTGTAGGTTTTTTCGGGCTATACGGCCATGTTCTAGAGGCATTCTCTCCTGATGTTTCACCTGCATCTATAGCAAACATCCTCAGAGGTAGTGAGGATGCTTCTGAGGATGCTACCTCTGAGGATGCTTGCCATAGATGCAGGCGAAATATCAGGAGAGAATGCCTCTAGAACATGGTCATATAGCCTGAAAAACCTACAACAACCCAGTGATTCCGACCATGAAAGCCTTCGACAATAATTTGTAAGCCGCTCTGTGTCCCCTTCAGGGTGAGAAGGGCAACATTTAAATGTCATAAATAAATAAATAATACTTAGTTATGTATCACTAAGTAATATCCACTGGCCAGACTTCCCAAGCCCACCTTAAGGGCAGCTGTATCAAATGCTGGAGGTCTGTTCAGTTGCTGATCAGGGTGCAAGGAGGATAATGCTTCCAAACTCCTTTCACAAGCAGGGCCCCCACAAGGAATTGTGACTGGTTCTGATTATTGCAGCCTCACTCACTGGTGGGAGAGGGCTGGAAACACATTCAGCAACTGAACAGACCTTCAGCAGATTTGTACTGCCACACCATGCAGTTGTTCTGAATACAGAGCTTCTAGAGATCAGTAACTCTAGGTTACAGATCCAAAACTGCAATGCAGAGTGCCAGCA